CAAGGGAGGGAAATCTAAGAACTCACAAATAGTATTAAAGGAAATGAAACAGAAGGGAGAGGATGCAAGTCTTTACTTAGCTCTATGGAACAGGAAATGTGGTTTTCTATCTATGAACTCCTGTCAGGGTTTACTGATGTAACAAATTACTTAATTCATGAGAAATGGTCTCAGTCTTCTTACAGGTCCACTCAAATTCTCCCAGGTACAGCCAGGGAGAAAAGTGTAGGAGCTGAAGATTCAAGGTCTACCTAAGATCTAAAAGTATAACATCACTCAATGGTCTGGCTTCTTGACTTGAAGCACTGACTTGGGACTGCCTATGTGGCAGAACTGATGAAGCATGCACTACAAGAGTCTTCTGATACCTGGAAACTGAGGATGAATTATAAAGCACACCAGTTGCTTACACAGCCACCTCAGCAGGCCTGGCAATCTGGGGGTGAGGGGGTGTTCCTAACAGAAGCGCTTTCTAGAAGCAGCTCCAACCAGAATTCTAGAATACAAACTAGTGTGAAGCATTTTCAAATGTAGTGATCCACATGTGCTTCAGACTAAAGAACTCTCCAGGAGAAACAGCAGAGGCACAGGAGTTCAACCCCTTATTGAAACTGTTATGCAGGAAAGCCAGGGTTTGTATTGTAACTGCAAACGTTATACCCATCTAATCTTTCCACAATTTTGAAGTTAGTAATATAAAACTTAATGAACTGGTAGTGACTGGTTTCCTAGATTGGTTTCACTAGAAATCATTAAATGCCCTAGGCTAATCATTGTACTTTAAAAATGAGAGAACTGAAATAAAAAGGGAAGAGAACCAATGATTTGCCTATAAATTTAGGTTCCTTGCGATATTCTTTTAAATCTGTAGCCAAGTCCTTATCCTGAGAATAATTACTAGCAATTACTCTCTGATTGCTATGTGCATATCAGACATTATCATCACTCTAATTATAATACAGTTAGCCAAAGCTGAATGGTTAACTTTCAGTTCAATTAAATGTTTGTTTTGCAGCCTATTTATAGATATGACAGATGTATACTGCTCAAAGATAATTATGGAATTTGATACTTTCCAGAGCTGATATAAAACATACAAAAACACAAGAAAGAACAAATCAGACAATTTAGTAGGGAATGCAGCTGCTAGCGGAAGATGAGGCCAGTTTGCTAAGGTTTTAAAATCTGTCTGCCAAAACACCCAGTGAACAGTGCTTTCTGTAGCATTCTCACAATTAATAACTGCTGACGATGAGTATATTGTAAAGTAATTTCAATTTATTTTGTGGAGAAAAAGAGTGACAAATGAGTTCTCTTTTTGTTAGGGCTTTTACTGTGGTGATCTATGCGTGACACAAACGGCGCCACCGGCACCACTGGAATTGTGCTGGTCAGTGATGTTGGCTGCGGCCAGTGGGTGACATGAGCACTGCCTCTTCCTGAAACTGCATCACCAGGAACTACTCTCCATTCTCTTCATCCACTGCACTGCGCTGTCATGTAAAACCTCTTTTGGTTGAACTATGGCAAGTCCAGGAACTACAGGAATATGGCAATTAGGAGTAAAAGAACCTGTTTCTCTAGATTCTCAACTGCCCTCCCTGTAATGGCCAGTCAGGAGAAGTACTTAGAGATCGCCTAACCTTTAACTGACTGCTCACTGGTTACCACCAGTAACAGCCAACTGCAAACCAAAAAGAAAAAAGAAAAAGAAAGAAAGAAACTCTTCAACCCTTGCGCTTGCGCTCTAACTACTCCAGCTACGAAGCAGACAAGGCTCTGATTCTCAGAGCCACCTTGTGTCACCACCTCCCCACTCCCCGCAAAAATAGAAAATAAGGGCCTGGACCATCTGCAAGTTGTTCCTTCTCTTGTCTTTCCTTTTCCTTGACCTTCAATTTGGCTTTGTTTTAAAACATGGTTTCACATAAAGCCCAGACTGTACTAAGACTCATTCTGTAGCTCAGGCTAGTTTGAAACTCAAAGTCCTCCTGCCTCTGCTCCTGGACTGCTGGGTTACAGATGTAATCTAGTTCTGCTTCTCTGTCACTAAAGCTTCTGCTTGCCTCCACCTACATTCTATCTCTACGAATCTGAGACTGACATACGTGCAAACACACACACACACACACACACACATTGATATGATATATGTGAGTTTGTGTTATGTGGTTGTCTCTATTCATTTAGCATATTGTTTTCAATGGGGTCACATATATTGTAGCATGTATCAATTCTTTTTAAAAATTACTGAGTAATAATATTACATTGTATGCTATACCATATTTTGTTTATTCGTTCACTATTAAGCCACTTGGATTACATCCATTTTCTGCTTCTGTAAAAAATATGTAAAGCTAGGACTAATAAAGAAAAGAAGTTTATTTAGTTCACAATTTTAGAGATTCAAGATCATGGTGTCAGCATCTATTCAACTTTGGTGAAGGCAATCTGACTATACCACAACTTAGCGAGCAATCCTTCTGGGAGCTGGTAGATAGGGGCGGGTTTACTCTGCAACAACCCATCCTCATAAAAGCTACCTCCTCCACACGACCTGGAGACAGGGATCCAAGGACTCAATGACCTTGTGCCCGTGTACCACTGAAAGTGTTCCAGTCAATGACAGTAGTTATACTCACTACCCATCCCTGGAAGCTTTTCGCTTCCTAAATGCTCCACTATATCACCTTTGTGCCAGAGCCTCCGGCAACTGAACCTCTAGCAGAGCAGCAGCTCCTGGCTTCTAGGAACACTTGGACATAAGCACCTGAGTCTGTTTTCAGTGCATTTGGTGGCTACTCATTAGGGTATTTGGATTGCCTTTTTGGAAACTGCCCTGGTTTTACCCTGGCTGCAAGGTTTTCTGTTCCCACCAGAAATGACAAGTGCTTTAATTTCTCCACATTTGCCAAGGCTTACTTCTGAATACAGCCACCATAGAAGCTGTGAAATGGCAGGTTATCTCACAGTGGTTTTAATTTGCATTTCCATAAAGACACCAAACAGTTTTCATTTACTTCTTTCCCATCTGCATATCTGCTTGGGAAAAATAAATATCCAAATCACTTGGTCTATTTTTCAATTATGTTGCCTTCTTGTTGAGCTGTAGGAGTTAATATATTATAGAAATATATCCCCACTATATATGTTACTCTTGTTTGGTAAGTTATCTCTAAATCATGACAGAGTTCTTCAATGCACAAAAGTTTTAATTTCTATTTAAGTCTAACTTACTTTCCCATGGTTATCTAGTCCTGGCATCATATTAAGGAATCTATAGGCCCGGATATTCATCTAAGGGCACTGTAGTTCAGGCTCTTAAATTTGGTTGTATTTTTAAAATCCATTTTAAAATCAGTTTCATAGATGATACAAGAGTTCACTTCAGTTTTTTTCAAGTGATTATCAAGTTTTTTCTTTATCACTTATTAAAGAAAAAGCATGTTGGTATTACAGTGGTAAGCACAGATGCTTCTCTAAAAGAACCTTTTACTGTCAGGTTCCTAAACCAATGCAAATTCCAGAAATTACTGAAGATACCACACTCTTCAAAGGACTTAAAGGAATCAAGCAGGAACCAACGGGGAAGCCTCCTTCCTGGGGGAATGGCTCTCATAGCATTGGACAGTGGTAGTCAAGGCTGCACAGGTAGAGAAACAACTGGCAGTTCTACCCAGCTGTAATGTCAATGGACCACACAATGACCGGACCCACAAGAGAGCCACAATGGTATGAAGGCGGGACTTTTACCTTGGGAATAACCAGATAGCTGTCTAATTGGACTTGAAGCTTGCTCAACAGGAAGGAATTCATGTCTGGTACTGTAATTCTACAATCTGATTCACTGAAATTACTAAGTAGGCATCCAGTCCAGTCACTCATATACAGCATTAAGAAAACTACATTTTGTTTTATAAACACAGGTCTCAATGTTTTGCTTTTTCAGAAATATCCTTTCAGTATGAACATTAGTTCTTCTATTTTCTTCAAAGTAAAGAGAACGGAGAAGGGAAAATACATGACTAGGGTCCATAAGCAATTTCCTGAAAAGGAGCCTGCAAGACAACCCATGGCAAACATCTTCCAGCTCCGGTATTCAGACTCGCATGGTTTCCACTGGGAGAGCTAGCAGTGCTTCCAGTACTTAAAATTAATGATCGTTATCTTTGTCTCTCATTTACTACTTCATTACACTATTATTATTTTCAAAATTAGCCCAGACATTGACTTATTAGGGACAAAGTTTTTATTCGTATTTATTTTAGTTTCTTTACTTTAAGAAAATAGCACTTATAAAACCTTAATTACTAAAATTTTAAGTTCAACATTTCCACATGAACATTTACTGTTTAAGATTGAAAACCTTCAAAGATGAATTCTAAAGCCCCGATACTATTAACCTCTGCAAGCAAAACCTTTCTCTACCAGGCAGAGCAGGCATTTCTGCCAGTTTCATATAACAAGTACACTTCTTTGTCACATTTGCCACAATATAGTCCAATCACTTTGTGTTTCTACCTACCCTGCTAGCCTGGGAACTCCCCCAAATCAGACCAAACACACATTCTTTTTCTATCTTTAGTCTCATACAAATACTAATGTGTGATATCTTTTTCTTAAATGAACAAATAGGCATAGTCTATCCAATGGCAACTGTCCTCTTTTCCAATAATTTAAATAGTTACATCTATTCTGAACTCCTCATAGTGTTCTTACTTGTAAGATTAATTACTACGTAATATCCATCATAACAGATTTCAGCAAAGTACTTACAATACATAAAATATCCTTGTGAGACACTTTACCAATGCTTCCTTTTTACAAATAAAAACTCAAGTAGCTTCAAAAGATCAGAAACTAAGGGACAGAAGCAGCACTGGTAGGATTGGGCCTGGACTGGGGGTTTGAATTCCACATGGTGCACCTTTCACCACATCAAGAAAAAACTTTCCAAACAACCTTTTTAACAAGTCAGCAACTGCGCTAGAAATACTTACACTGACCCCAGCGCCCTGTACGTGGGTTTAAATAATTTGGATAAAGACCATTTGGGCGTTCCATTTTCTGGAGTAGTTTCCGAATGTGCATGACCTAATCAAAATGAAATAAGAATGTAATTAAGAGAAGCAGATGTCATCAAGACTTTCTATTAGCCTTTGCTCTGTGATTTTTCTATCACATGGAACCTACACCCACATTCTACCTTGACATGTGTGGTGGACAGGAAGGTTTCTGTTTCTTAAACAATTCATTGGTTTTATTAGAGGACATATTATTACTATTATTTAAAAACCAAACAATAATAAAAGTAACTCTTAAATAATTCATTAGTTTTATTAGATGACACAACAGTATTTAAAAACCAAACAATAGGCTGGGCGGTGGTGGCATACACCTTTAATCCCAGCACTCAGGAGGCTGAGGCAGGCGGATCTCTGTGAGTTCAAGGCCAATCTGGACTACAAGAGCTAGTTCTAGGACAGGCTCCAAAGCTACAGAGAAACCCTGTCTCAAAAAAAAAAAAAAAAACCAAAAGAACATAAAACAAACAATAAATGTAATGAAATAAAAAAGCTCACAAAATGTTTTACATTCTCACTCTATTATACAGACATGACCATGAGAAACATCAATTGTAAATTCTTAGAGATCTCCCTGAAGTTACGGGAGGAAAAAGAAAAACTATACTTGGAAGCTGATGATTTTCCCAATGTCTGCCTTCAAACTGTCTGCAGGCCAGTCAGATCTGACAGGCACTCTCAGGCGTGGGGAGCAGCCAGTGTATCAGGAAAGGTTTTCGACTTCTTATATTCTTAGTTTTTTGAAGTTATTGATACCTAAAGTTTTGATCACTCAAATTTTGAGTAAGTAACGTAGCCATGCTGCCTTACATATGACTGATGACCAGGATGGTGTAAGTGACTTAGAATACATTCTTTCTCACAGGTATATATATATACTTTAGCTTTCTGAACTTGAGAACATCAATAGTTTTACCAAAAAGCTTCTCATCATGTTCTCTTTAGCTGGTTTTGGCATGGCACTGAGAAGCTCAAGAATGCTTTCATATACAATGTCCCCCATCACGCACAGTGCTTTTAGACACTTCTAAATGATGTTAGGAAAGATGAGAAATTGCTTTTTGACATCTGAAATGATGGATAATATTAACTCTGTACTTCTCAGTGCACTATTTCACGCTCACTGTTTTTAGTTCCTCTGTCTTCTAAGTCCCTCCCTCCATATTTCAAGCCCCATCTTTCCTGTGTTGCTTCCCCTTTGGTCTTCTCTTGGGTGGAAATGCTTTCTTCGGCTCTGGCACTGATATCACATCTTACTCTACCATTTTATCTCATTTTTATTCTTATTCTACACAGGCTGGGGCATGAGGGAACCCATGCTTTTCTTACGGTGATATCTGGTCAGGATTTTTATTTATTTATTGTTTTGGACTAGTGTTTGTCACATTTCATGGCCTTCCCCTTTTGTTCCAATAAATCTCTTATAAATTCTGTACTTATGCCTTTTATGAGAATTATTCGTCATCATTCATCAACATCCTCCCTTTGTGGGGGAGAGGAAGCACTCTTAAACTCGGCATGTGGTCCACACTAGTATAAACAGATTAATGTGCCTTAATCTTCCGAATGCCAGGATTATAGTTCTATACCACCACACTGACTCTCCTCTGTTTTCCTGACCCAAAAATTCACAAGAAAGCTTTGACATAAAAGATTGAGGTTGAACACAACTCTAAGTGCGGTTTCCAGCCCTTGCTTCTCCCTGGCCAACTGAGATGGGAGGCTAGCACTGTCTGCCACAGGGACACGTGTCACTTCTTCCCTCACTGAAGCTGGCACTGTGAACTGCTGCAAGCATCCTTTCCTAGCTCCTTAGCACACTACTTCCCTCTAGTCTGAAAGCACTAACCTATCCGCACCTGCCACCCTATCCGCACCATGAACGTAAGTGCATGAACGTAAGTGCACAAATTTGTTCTTATCATACATACCATCTTTATAAAATGACACTTTCTTACCCTTTGTAGCTGATACAGACTGATGCTAAGGATTTTAAATCTACACTGATGTTTTATAGCCCCCCCGAATTAAATGTTTGTTTCTAATGTGAACTTAGGAAGAAAAACATAGTCGTGCCCATGTTAAAAGATTCTATAAGGATGATTAACTAGTTAAAACATCCTAATTAGAGTGCTGGAATGTTCTGGGTTTAGAACTAAACCATCTTAACAGCCATTCCTTACCTCTATGTGTAGCCTAACATCCTTGTTACTATTAGGTCCTCCTGCAATGTCCTGACAGACCCTGGCTTCCACCAGCCCAAAGGCTAAGAGTGCTATCAATTAGCATCTGAGAAAGATATCTCCCCATTTAGCTGTAACTCATAAGCCTGATGTTCTCAAAGTACTTTAACAGAGGTTTTCACTCATGTTTATTGTGCTCTGTTATTATAAAAATTTCACAAAACTGTTACTATGTTGAAGCAGCAATAACCTGAATCTGAGTTCCTACGGGCTAAAGCTGTTCATATTTGGTTCTAAAATAAACACCTCTTAGATCTTCTGAGCTGAGTTTTGCATTCACAGTAGCCATTTGGATTTTAATAGTCAGCGTCCTGACACTTAGGTATAGCTCAGTAGGAGAGTCAATAAACAGCATGTGCAAGACCCTGTGTAAAGATCTACTTCACCAAAAAGAAGTGAGAAAAAAAACCCTCTTTTCAAACAAACAAACAAACAAAAAACAATCCCCCCAAGGCTGTCTTAAAAGATTCAGTAGAATAATCATGTACTCTATGAATAAACAGTATTTTCTCTCTTCCTTTGTAATTATCAAACTTAAAATTTATTTTCTTGTCTTAACATATAGGCCAGGGAGTTGAGAACCATGAGTATAAAAGGGAATATATATTTTAATATAAATAGTGGATATAACTTCTGAATAAATACTTTTTAAATATATTCTAAGTAGAAAGGGATTTTAAAAAAATGAAAGACAAAAAAAGCAATAAAAACAAAAGTTCTAAAAAATTATTAAAGTATTACGATCTTTGGGGAAATTTGTAAGAGTCTTTGATAACTAACCTTTTTGTAGTAAATCAAGTCACCAGTCAGGTAGCTGAGGTGGACAAACTCCATATGCAGTGTGCCAAATTCAGCCAGAATGCTGCTACCTGCAGACGCCCAGCCCCAGTTCCGACCTACTCCACTGAGTAAGAGGGGAATAAAATGAGACAGGATTGGGGAAAGAGCAAAACTTTTTATAATGAACACATGAATCTTAAATAGATCTTAGAAATTACTATATCTAACATAATAGTTTTTACTTTTATTTTTGTTAAAAATTTTGAATCAATAATACAGTCAAGTTGTAAAAATCAGAAAACATAGAAAGTATCCGCCATATATTTTATCCATCCTCACTCCCTTTATATCACCTAGCTCTATAATCACTTTTCACTAGCTTCTTACACAATCAGAGCTTTTATAAATACATAAGGAATCCATTGTTATTTTCTCTTATTAGCACAGCATAAGCAAAATGCACGAACTGCTCTGACTGGGCACTACAGTCTTGTACTGTTCTTTATTAGTCTTTCCATATCAGTTCATAAAGAGCAGTTTTCTCGTGGGGATTTAATAGCTGTAGAGAATTCCATGTAATTAATGGTTCTCTTATACATTTGCATATTACTCTGATTTTCTATGCTGCCAATTTAATATGCTATACTTTTAATGATCTGAATTAAGAACACACCAAAATCTACATTAGGACACACATAGCTCTACCTTTTATAGTTCCTTCATTATACAAAACTATTTTTTTCATTGAAATTATTAGAGGCAAATACAACTATCAGATTTTTCGTTTATAGCTAGAAGTGAGAATCAAAAGGAAATGTGGACAAAGTAACTATGTAAGACAGACATTCATTTTTACAAACAGTAAAAATTTGCTATACTGCAGGACAGATATCCATAAACATGGCATATAGCATACTTGCTCTTGTAATAAATAAGGCCATTGAAATGGGAAAAACTGCTATGAAGAAACTCAAGTTGAGAAATAGGATACTGAATACTAAAGATGGAAAACACACCAGAAGAAAGGCTCTTTTTATATTATAACCTGATAGAGTGTTTCTGAAGTGATGAATCCTGACCACACGAAAGTCTATGATGAATAGACCTCCAAGAAGAAAATTCCCAGTAAGGGAACAACAAATGCAATGGCCTGGAGGGAAGCGAAGGGCCTGGCTGTGGCTAGAGTTTAGAAAGTCGATGCTACAGGATGCAATTGAAGAGCTAGCAATCACCGAAGGAAGGCAAGCAAAGATGCTGTAAGACCATGAAAAATTTCATTTTAGTGTGATAGAAAGACAAAAGAAAATTTAAGGAATACAGTAGACATTTTAGGAGCAAAGCATGATATTTAGACATCAGCTGGCTTTCAGCTAACTAATGAATTACTTATTCTGTTGTCAACTATGACACAAAACCCAGTCAAGTCCACAGTTCACTATGGAGAAACTTACCAGGTAAAAGCAACAAAGGAAAACATTATTCGGAGTACATGCAAACACTTTTCAAAATATTAAAATCTAAACAAGGTTTTTTCTTTTATTTCATAGATAGCATTCTAAAATATAAAATTTGACTCATATATATTCTAACTCAAAAGAAAACTCCAGCCAGGTTTTAACCCCCAGAACTTGGAGGCAGAAACAGGTGAATCTCAGCGAGTTCAAGGCCAGTCTGGTCTACAGAGCGATTTAGAAGACCGCCAGGACTAGAGAAACCTATCTTGAAAATCAAAAAACAGAAACAAACAAACAAACAAAAACCACTCCAAATAAAACTACTGAAGACTAACCCAACTTAAAACAAAAGACATATTCCCACACACTAATACCATCAAACTTTTTACTACAAATGTTATTCTTTTTCAGCTGATCAAAGGGAGCCATTAACATGCTTCCATGTATAATCAGAGAACACGAGTAACAAAAATGTGTAGTGAATACTAATAGACAAAACAATTAAAAACAACACTTCTCTCTCCACTAGGCTAAACATCAGCTACAAGACATTAAAAATGTCTGGCAAACTTTTGATGGTTAAATAGTAATCAATTTAAGGTCATATAATTACTTTGAATTGTTCTGATAATGAATCACCTACAATTTGTGTTTTGCTCAAAGTCCAAACAAAACCTTTAGTCTATGTATTTAAAGAACAAAGCTTCTTAGTGAATGGCAATTTTAAGAACAAAGCTTTGCCAACAACTGATGTTCATATTTATCACATCAAAATCCAAGAAATTAAATAAATGAAACTTGCACAATGTACAAATTTAAACTCAGAATCCTGGCCAATAGAAATAAACATTTAATGAAGCTCCAACTTCCACTCACATATATTAAATAGCTAAACATTATAATATGCAAAAATTTTAAAGTAGGAATATACTATATTTAAGCAGAATTTGCTCTAAAACAACTATATATATAATATTTTTCAAGCTTAGATAAGAATCAGTGAGGATATTAACAATTTCAAATGTGGATAAATGTTTCTTTAACTTTCTTAGAAATAACTTTATTTTGAAAATAGTTTTAAGAACATTTCACAACATATTATTTAAAAACTTTAAACTGGGGTTGGGAAATGGCTCAGCAGGATACAGGTTTGGTTCCCAGCATCTATGTGGCAGCTCACAACCGTCTGTAACTTCAGTTTCAGGTTATGCAATGCCTTTTTCGGGCACTGTAGGCAACAGGTACACGTGGTACACATACGGATGCATAGACAAAACGTCTCTACACATAAATACTACTATTTTAATTATTAAATCGTTTTAAAAAGCACGGAAGCAAACATTTTTAATTAAAAAGAAATCTACAAGGTCACAGAAAGAAAAAGCTACAGTAGAACAGCAGAGCACCAAACACAAACAACAAATGATAGGAACAACACACACCTTGCACAATGAGTATCGACAAAACATGGCATATAGAGTTGCAATAAGACTAAGACTAAGCACATCCCCATGTATTAAGGCTGGGCAAGGCAACCCAGTATGGGGAGTAGGGTTCCAAAAGCCAGTAAGAGTCAGAGACAGCCCCTGCTCCCACTGTTAGGAGTTTCAAAAGAGGAAGCCACACAACTGTAACATATATGCAGAATGCCAAGGTCAGTTCCATGCAGGCTCCCTAGTTAGACATTATTTCTTTGAACCTGTGTCTCTGCCTCTGTTCCCACTCCCTAGCTCCCACCACCCACTCCCTTGTTCTTCATGTGTGCTAAGCCATCCCATACTGCCCAACAGGCCATTAGGTGGCTTCTTCCTCATACCTGCATCCTTCAGTTTTCCTTTTATGATTTTCTTTGAGTGGTTTCTAGTACTTTACTTCCAGGCTCACAGATCTTCAAGGTGTGGCGAACAACTGTTAAGTTTGTCAAGTGAACATATATACATGCAGTTCTAGGAGCTCCACTTTGGTCCCTTTAAAGGTCAGTCTTCCCATTGGTGCCATTTTCCTTTAAATACTTAAGCACACTACAAAGCCTGTTCCAAAGACTTTAGAGGTCATCTCTATTTCTATTTCTCTGCCCGTTTCTCCTGACAGATTTCACTTGTGATTACAGTAGCATTCTCCTGTTTCATACATGACTAGCAAATTTTAGTTGGATTCTAGGTAATAAAGCATTATGTTGTTAATAACAGCTTCATTTTCATTCTTAAAGACATGTTCAATGTCCTTGTGACAGGCAGGGATGTCCTCTGGATGGCGTAGTTCTTTGGTTTGAAAGTTGCTGTGAGGCTTACAACCATGCCTTCTTTGTGGCAGACTGAGCTCTTCCTACTGTGTGATTCTTCGAGCAATTATTCTACAAATCCAAACTTGTTTCTTATCTTTTAACTAGTTACCCACTATCTTTTAAATGATTGCATTTTCAAATTATCTTTAAATTAAGCAGTCATATATGTATTAGTCATATGATATAATTAACTATAATCTTGTCTATAGTCTATTATTTTTATTCCTCATTCCTATCTTTTACTTGTTAATACTTCCAGAAAAAAGTTAAGCAGTACCTTGTTGTTATTGTAATGAGGTGTGTCTAACATATTAAATTGTTGGTTTGATATGCTGGATCAAAAGAATAAAATTAAAGACATAGAAATAAGTCCAAACACATATGGAAATCTGATTTTGTTTTTTTAATAAGCAAGCCAGAAATATAAAATGGAAAACAGACAACATCTTCAACAAATGGTGCTGGTCAAACCAGATGGCTGCAATGCAAATAGATCCATACTTATCATCCTGCACAAAACTCAACTTCAAGTGGATCAATGACCTCAACAAAAGGACAGGTACATTGAATATGATAGAAAAGAAAGTGGGGAATAATCTTGAACTCACTGGCACAGGCAAAGACTTTGTGAACACCAAAGGCACAGGCACTAAAACCAACAATAAAAAAATGGGATCACATGAAGCTGAAAAGCTTCTATAGGGCAAGGACACAATCATTCAGACAAAGCAACAGTCTACAGAATGGGAAAAGATTTTTACAAAAATCTACACATTCAATAGAGGACTAATATAAAGAACTTAAAATTCTGGACACCAAGAAACAATCCAATTAAAAAATGGGATATAGATTTAAACAGAGAATTCTCAACAGAGAAAATTCAAATGACTTATCAAGCACTTAAATTAACATCCTTTGTCATCAGGGAAATGCAAATCACAACAACTTTGAGATTTCTTCATCTTACACCTAACAGAATGGTAAAGATCAATAAAAACAAATGACAGCTCATGCTGGCAAGGATGTGGAGTAAAAGGGAACAATCATCCATTGCTGGTGGGAGTGCAAATTTGTACTTGGAAATTGGTGTGGTCCCTCAGAAAGATGGGGATACATCTACCTCAAGACCCAGCTATACCACTCTTTAGATATATACCAAAGGGTACTTCATTCTACTACAAAGACACTTACTTAACCATGTTCAATGATGTCCTGTCTACAATAGCCAGAAATTAAATACAATCTATATTCACAGGTAAATGGAACTAGAAAAAAAAATCCTGAGTGAGGTAACTCAGACCTAGAAAGACCAAAGTGTATATATTTGCTTATACATGGATGTTAGCATTTAAGTCAAAGATAAGCATGCTAAAGCCTATATATACC